TTTGTTTTTTGTTTTGCTTTTTTGCTATTGAGTTCTTACATATTTTGGATATTAACCCCTTACCAGATATATGACTTCTAAATCTTATCTCCCATCCCCTAGGTTGCCTTTTCATTTTGTTGATGGTTCCCTTTGCTGTGCAGAAAGATGTTTGTAGTTTGATGTAGTCCCCCTTACTGTTTTTTTTTCTTAGTTGTTTGTGCTTTTGGTGTCATTACCAAAAAATTGTTACTAAGACCAATCATTGTCAAGGAGCTTTCCCCCTATGTTTTCTTCTACAAATTGTATGGTTTTAGGCCTTATACTTATATATTTAATCTGTTGTGAGTTAATTTTTGTATATGATGTGAGATAATGGTCCAATTTCATTCTTCTGTGTACTTATTTTGGAAGAAGACTCTCTTTATCCTAAAATTATTTTTTTTAGGTTTTCTTCTAATACTGCCTTTATAGAATTGGAATTTATTTTCTTGTATAGTGTGAGGTAGGTCCCAGCATCACCTGTTGAATCCTTTTACCACAAGGTTTGAATGCCACCTTTATTGCACACTAAATTCCCGTATGCACAGTTCTATTTCCGAACTCTATTCTGTTCCTCTTGTCTCTATTTGTTTTTATTTTTAAAATTTATCTTTATTATTGAAAGTAATACAGAGGTACCCTTTTTTTCCCCATTGACCCCCCTCTAGCTCGCCTCCACGCTCCCCCCCCCAGGCCTTCACTGCACTATTGTCTGTGTCCATGGGTTATGCATACATGCACACATGTTCTTTGGTTAATCTCTTCTCACCCACCATCCACCCTCACCTTCCCTCTTTGATTCATCACTGTGTTCCATGTTTCTATGTCTCTGGATCTATTTTGCTTATCAGCTTATTTCTTTAGATTCCACATATGAGTGAGATCATGTGATACTTGTCTTTTTCTGACTAGCTTGTTTCGCTTAGCATAGTACTCTCCAGGTCCCTACATGATCCACTCATCTACTGATCTTAGCTATTGTAAATTGTGCTGCTATGAGCATAAGGGTGCATACATTCTTTCTGATTGGTATTTCAGGTTTCTTAGGATATATTCCTAGAAGTGAAGTCACTGGGTCCAATGTCAGTTCCATTTTTAATTTTTTTGAGGAAACTCCATACTGTTTTTCATAATGGCTGCACCAATCTGCATTCCCACCAGCAGTGTACTAGGGTTTCCTTTTCTCCATATTCTTGCCAGCACTTGTATGTTGATTTATTGATGGTAGCCATTCTGACTAGTGTGAGATGATAACTCGTTGTTTTAATTTGCATCTCTCTGATGATTAGTGACTTTTGAGCACTTTTTGTTTTAATTATTAGAATTTTAAAGTATAACCTTCTGTTCAGAAACTTTTTTTGGTGGTGTTTTTTTTTTTAACCTTTGTTTCAATCTCTATTCCCAGGCTTCTTCAGCTTAATTAGCTACAGAGTGATTTGTGTATAAGCAAAACTGAAAAGAGCTGCAGTAACTAAGGGGCTTAAAAATATTAGAGATCTAGATTTTATCAGATCCATATGCAAAATGTGAACAAGCAGTCAATATAAAATAGCAGCTCCCAGTAACTTCTTCAAGGTAATCTTCTTCAGAAGTTGACTGTATTCAGTTTGCTTTATTCTTAGCAGCCTCATCAAAAATCTCCTCAAGATCTTGAACTTCATCGTCATCATCACCATCCTCTCCGGTAGCAAGTGGTGCTTTTCCACCCAGAGATTATTTGGGCAGAGCTTCACCAGTCTCCTTATCTAGTCAGACTTGTCCCATGCTGGTCTGAGATGCTGGGTCCTAGCACCTGTCAGCTGCCTTGTCCCCACACAGCCAGTAACAGTGAAAGTGGTCGCGGCTGAGATGCCTGAACTTTAGGGCTGTTAAAGGGAACATTGTTCCAGTTTTTGAACATATTAACCTCTTCAATACCAGAGATATTGTTTACCCATAACTTCTTTAAGGAGAACTGAAGCTTTTATGTCTGCTGTAGCTGTTCTGTGAACCGCCTTCTTCCTAGGAGTGTTCCTTTACCATCATCGCGCACTTGTGCCTGTGGTTTGGCGAGCTTCTCCTGATTCAGGATAGTTTCTTTCATCTCCTTGTGGAGAGGAGACAGGGCTGCGCTGGGGGACGAGGCTTAGCTCTCAGGGGGTCTTGGGCAAACCAGTTGAGAATTTTTCTTTTTTGGATGAATTTTAGGATCAGCTTGACAAATTTTATGACAAAATAATGTTGGGACTTCGGATTGCATTGAAAATATAAATGGAGGAGAATTTTAAGGTATCGAATCCTCTCATCCAGCAAAAAATATATTTTACTGGTTTTCTACAGAGAGGAAGGGAGAGAGATAGAGAGTTAGAAACAATGATGAGAGAGAAACATCGATCAACTGCCTCCTGCACACCTCCTACTGGGGATGTGCCCGCAACCAAGGTACATGCCCTTGACCGGAATTGAACCTGGGACCCCCCAGTCCACAGGCCAGCGCTCCATCCACTGAGTGAAACCGGCTACGGCAATATATGTTTTTAATAATATATACTGTTATATCTATTAGACAACTTTTTTCTTCATGTAGATTTAGCATGTTTGCTATAGATTTATTTCTAGCATTGTTTCTGTTTTGAATGGGATTTTTTCATATTCACTTTTTAAAATTGAGTTTATTGGGGTGACATTGTTTATTAAAATTATATAATATAGGTTTCAGGTGTACAATTATATAATACATCATATGCATATTATATTGTGTATTCACCACCCCAAGTCAAGTCTCCTCTACTATCTTTTCTATTTAATTGCTGCTGGTGTGTAGGAAAGCCACTCATTTGAATATGTTGGTTTTATTTTTGGTCACATAATAGTAATAATAATGATGAAAAATTAGTATTCATTTTCATATTGTGTTAATTTTGGTTCACTTGGATTTTCTAGGAAGGTGAACTCATAGCATCTACAACTAATGATTGTCATCTCTTTCTAATATTTTTACTGCCTCTTTATTAAAGTCTTGTTTTATTGCATTTGCTAGCATTTCTAGGAAACTGGTAAATAGTAGCAGTGTCAGTAGGCATTTTTGTCACATTTTTTACTTCAGTGTGTGCTGATTGTGATGCTTATGACTTGTTTCTGGTAGATACCAGTGATCACAAATTCTTCTCATTCCTTCTGGTGCTCTCAAGGTGTTGTGGAAGTGTATTTTCTGTGTTACAGAGATAATGGAAACTCAGAAAAGTTCAAGGACTTGAAATGCCCATTTAGCAGATAGAGCTGATGATTCTAGTGAGCTCTCACTCTGCTCCTAGAACTGTGTAGACTGCTAGCAACCCTGGGTGCATTTGTTCCTTTGCCTTGCCAGGTTCTGGAGTTGCTCCAGGATATTTAGAGGGCCTTGTAGGCTTCAGCAGCTGTGCAGCCATTAGGTCCTCGCTAAGAGAAGGACACTGAGTCTTTATGGAGGAGGAACAGCTATACACGGTAGCACTAAGATGCGGATCCAGGCTCAAAGTTATTCCATTATACTCTGCTGTCCCTGCAGATATATGTAGCTATTCTAGATGAGCTTCATTTTTGAATGTCATTTATTTTCAGATCTCAGAGGGAAATAGTTGGGTCAGTTGTATTCCTCATTTTCTAGCACCTCATACCTTATCACCTTTGTAAGATTCTCTCTTGCTTTATTATGTATTTTATTCCCTTTTCCTATTGCCATCCTTCCACCCCATCAGTTCTCTTCTGTTTAATTTGTGAGTTTTTTTTCTTTTATGTGTTCCTGTGAAACATGTATTGTTATTTTTGTGCAATATTTTAAATCTGTGTAATGAATCTCACTTGATTTTTCCTGTTCCCCTCAGTGTTCTTTTCCCTACTGCTCCATATTGCTGTGTGTGCATGCATTTACCTGCACATTGTCACGTGGGCATCTAATCTGTTGTATCTGACAGGTAGAGTCCTACACGGAGATGTCTCTAGTTCTCTTCCCCCACTCCTCCAGTGCGAACTTCAGACTTCCTCCATGTCCCTTCCACAGAGACACTGCAGTGCACAGCTTTGTGCCGGCTGCGTGCTGGGCCTGGTGAGGACCCCCTAGAGTGCACACCCAGGGCGGAGCCACCAGGCCCTAGGTGATGTGCACATTTCATTGTGAGAGTCGTGCCAGGTCTCCATCCAGACTGGCTGCCAGTGCCCACTGCCACCTCAGGGCACATTGACTACTTGTTCTGATTTTTTTCAGTTTAAAAGATATTTTATGTGGGGTTGTTTTTTCTTGTTAATTTTCACAATGTTATTATATTTTCTCAGTAGCAATTCTTTGTCAGTTGTAGACATTCCAAAAATGTCTCCTAAGTTGTCAGCAATCTATTATATTTGTTCATGGAGGTTTGTTATACGGAGAATTTTAATTTTGAGGTGGTCAGATTCATCCATTAGTGTATGGTCTGTGCTTTTGAGTTTTAAGACGTTCTCCCTGCCCTCGACTCCTCCCATCCCCCCCAGTCACTGGGATTCTCTCTGTTAACTTCTTAGCTGAGTTGTAAACTTTCCTTGCTGCTGCTGTTGCTTTCTTATGCCTTGTCCTGGATTGGTGACTTAGGTCAGGCTCCTTAGAAGCAGAGCCTGAGTTGGGGTCCTTGTGCACATGCTGGTTCGGGGAGGTGCAGGGAAGGAGCTGGACAGTGCTCCTGATCCCACAGGGAGCTCAAGTGTGAGTGGCCCCACAGGGCTGTTGCCTTTGTGCTCCCATGATACTCACTGACTGGCTGGTCTCCTCCCAGTCCCCACTTCTGTGGGGCCAACTTAACCTCCCAGGCATTTCTCCAGAGGAGCTTGCAGTTGTGTGCTGACAGCCAACATGCAGAGGGTGAGTTACCTACCCAGTAAAGGGGGTGTGGACAGGTACCAGCAGCATCTGCTATATTGGTTGACCCTAGATACTTTGGAATTGTATGCCTCCAGTAGGGTGGTGACTCTGCCCGTGTTGCCACCCACAGTCTCCACAAAGGACCTGATCGAGACTTGCTGCGCAGCTGGACAGCAGTGGGCCATCGACAATGACGAGTGCCTGGAAGTCCCTGAGAGTGGCGCTGAGGGTGATGTCTGCAGGTAGGCGGGCAACCTGGGGCAGGCAGAGTTGCCCATTCACCTTCTCCAGATCCCTGCTTGCCTTGGACTGTGGGCCCTGACAGTGCAAGGTGAGCACATGATTCACCTGCTTCCAGGTGCTCAAGGGTGATTGGATATGGCAGCTGTGGCCCAGTTGGTGAGGCTTTCTGCAGGTGCAGAGAGCCCAAGACTGGACCCCAAAGTAAACTAGCCACATAAATTCATAGTGGGCCTGATGCACATAATCAGGAGTGTACCGTTTGGAACAAGTATTAAAGGACCATTGGCACCCAGGAGTAATTGTGTGCTTCTCTAACTGCTGGGCAGGGCTCCACCCACACAGGTTATACTCACTCAGCTTTGAGCTGGGGAGCTCAGTCCTCTTTCTCTCCCCGCTTTGCTACCCTGGAGTCTCTAAAAGGGTGGCCTTTCACCATCCTCTTCTACTGCCTGTGCTGATTGTTTCTTCTGTCTCTGGTATCTCAGCAAAGGCATCATTTACACCCAGGCCAGCCTTGTGCCAGGCCTGGAAGACGTGTTGATCAGCCACTCACTATTTCTTTTTTCTAGAGACACCATCTTTTCCAACCTACTCATTTTTCCAGACAAAGGAAGACAAGGTTCAGAGAAGTAATGTGATTCACCCAAAGCCATACAACTCATTGGGAGCAGGGCCAGGAGTAGACCTCATGTTTCCTAATGTCCAGCTCACCATACCTCCTTTAGAAACATTTAAATACTAACCATGTCCCTTTCCTTTTCCTCTGTTGTCCACCAATTTGGGGCTATTTAGGAGTTAGAACATGCGCCAGTCACAGTCCTGGAGTTTTGAGCTGAGTAGCCCTTATAAGTAGTGCATGCTTACATTCCTATTGTAATGGGAAACTCACTGCTTCATGGCCAGCTGGTTGTCACTGGATAGCCCTCCCTGGGACATGCTCTTCCTCAAGCAGAGCTGAACCCTGCTTTCCCACAACCCCTGCCTCTGTGTCCTGGCTCTGCCCTCATGCTGCTGGCTCATCAGCTGCCTCTGTCCCAGGGCAGCCCTACTGAGATTGGGAGGCTTGACCAGGAACCCTGTAGGCTACGCTCCTCCATGCCAACCAGGATTGGGTCTTCCTGTCTTTCTCGGCCCCATGTGGAGTTTGGAGCGCTAATTCCCCTTTCTCATTGGTCAGGACACACAGCACTGAGACCGGTGGGGCCCAGGCCTAAAGTCTTCTTGGTTAAGGAGAAACAAACCCATGTGACTCAGAGGGGGATGTGCTGGCCTTGCCAATGCATCTGCCATCAGCACTGCCCTGCTCATATGGGCTTCCCTTCTCTGAGCCTCGGTTTCTTTCCCTGGGAGGATGGGGTGGGTGCTCAGGTCGGGCTGAGGGCACTTCTGTTGCAGGACAGCTCAGAAGCACTGCTGTGCATCCTACCTGAAGGAGAAGAGCTGCATGGCCGGTGTTGTGGGGGCCAAGGAGGGCGAGGCCTGTGGGCTTGAGGACAGTGACACCTGTGGCATCTCCTTGTATAAGGCAAGTCCGACTGCAGCCTTCGTGGCCTGAGAGTCTTTGAGGACTGGGGTTTGGGTTCCCCTGTGGGACTCCACAGTGAGGGTGACCCTCTCACATGGGTCAAGGGTCTCTTCATCTGCATAGAGAACATCAGCAGTTATTATATTGACCTACTAATTCACAAAATATTTACTGAACACCAGTGTATGCCAGGCCCTATTTTAGGCATGAGGGATGCAGAAACGAGTAACACAAAAATCCTTGCTCTCTCTGGGTTTTCCTTCTAGTCAGGGAGACAGATGGAGATCAAGATGAGTATGTTAATGTTCAGTATATTAGAAGGTGATGGTGCCAGGGAGGAAAAACTGAAGAGAGGATAGGGACAAGCTATGTCAGAGATTGGGAGGTTCCGGAGTTTCATCTGCAGTGGCTGGAGATGGCCGCACTGAGAAGGGGATGTTTGAGTAAAACCCTGCAGGAGGAGAGGGGTGAGCTGTGTGGACTTCTATATGGGAAGTATCTTCTAGGCCTGGGGTGCAGAACATCTGGCCCGGGGACCGTATAAGGCCCACAAAAATCTTTTGGTCTGGCCCTGCCAAGGCATTAGGGATGAGTTAATTAAATGTTTTGACCAAATATAGCAGACTAATTTTTAAGTTGATAATTTTGTATGGCTTTCAAATGATGTTATAAATATCTGATGTCCCTTGGCAGAAAAAAAGGTTCCCCACCCCTATTCTAGGCAGAAGGAACAGCAAGTGCAAAAGTCCTGAGGCAAGTATATGCTTGGCATGTGTGAGGAGCAGCAAAGAGGCCTGTGTGGCTGGAGTGCAGTGAGTGAGGAGGGAGTAGTAGGAGCTGAGGCCAGAGAAGTGATGGGGCAGACCCTGTCCAGCATTATAAGGATGGTGGTTTGCTCTCAGTGAGGTGGGAGACACGGAGAGTTTAGAAGGACATTATCTGGGTCCCTTCTGCAGTAGTGGGGACCGAGGGGGTTCTTCTCCATGGACAGTGTGATCAGGATGGAATCAAACCTCACCAGGCAGTCATGGAGCAGAGAGAAGAGGAGGGCACTTCTAGCAGAGGGAACAGTGTGAGCCAAGGTGCAGAGGCAAGAGCCTGTGGCAAAGAGGTACAGGAGCAGGGGGTGGGGGGGGGGGGGGGGCTACCAGGAGTTCTCTGACTCTTACATGAAGGACAGTAACTACTGTTGTGAGATATTTTGGGCTCCAGGCTGAAGGTATGCAGGGCCCTGAGAGGGATTTACAGAAGACCAATTAGTGTGCTAGGGCTCACGTTGGCCTCAGGTGGCAGGTCTAGGGACGAGATGTCAGTTTGGCTGCAAGTAATGGAAACCTCCCTAAACATTGCTTATTCTGTCATATGCTGGTGGTTGCAGGCAGCCAGGCCAAGACTGACAGAACGAGTGGCTCTGTGGTCTTCAGGGACACAGGTTTGTTCTGTCTTGTTGCCCAGCCAACTGGAATATGCTGCCTCCTGGTCCAGAATGGCTGCTTGAGCTCCAGGCACAGGCTGGAAGGATGGGGAAAGAGCCCCTCTTTAAATTATTTTTCATTGTGCCAAATACACAGAATGTAAAATTGACCATTTAATTACTTTTTAGTGTATAGTTCAGTGGCATTAAATACACTCACAGTATTGTACAACCATCACCACCATCCATCTCCAGAATTCTTTCATCTTCCCAAACTGAAACCCTGTCCTGTGTAACACTCACCCCCATACCCTTTCCCTCCAGCCCCTGCAACCACGCTTCTACTTTCTGTCTCTATGACTGACTACTCTAGGGACCTCATATATATGGAATCACAGTCTTTGTCCTGTGTGATTGGCTTATTTCACTGAGCACAGTGTCCTCCAGGTTCACTTATGGTGTTGCAGGTGTCAGGATGTCTTTTCTTTTAAAGTTGAATACTATTCCATTACATGTATAGAGCACATTTTGTTCATCCATTCATCTTTTGATGGACATTGGGTTGTTTCTACCTCTTGGCTGTGTGACCAATGCTGCTGTGGACACAGGTGTGAGAAGAGCCCCTCCTTTGAGGACAGACAGTACTTCCACTAACAGCACATTAGCTAGAACTTAGGCCAGTGGTCACACCTAGCTGAAGGGTTGCTGAGAAATGTAGTCTTTATTCTGGAGAGGTCGCATGCTCCACTGAAAATTGGGAAGAAGGGAAAGCAGACACTGGGGGCCAACACCTGGCTGGTTGTGCAGCAGAGGACGGGGCAGACTAGGGCAGTGGACAGTGTCAGGAGTGTTACCAAAAGAGATGTTTAGGAGAGAGTGTAAGGAGTTGAAGAGGGGTCACAAGCTTGGATGAATAATAGGGACATTTGGAGGAGGGTGACATTTGGGAATTGATTTGGACTTTAATTTTTATCATGGTGGGTTGATTTTTCCTAAAAACAATTGATATTAGGGAGAGGACTTTGGTGACAGGAAAGTTTTGAATCCCATTTTTGTCTGTATGTTTGACCCTGAACCAGCCTTTTTTGAGCCTCAGCTTGTCCATCTACAAAATGGGGATAATAATGTATGTCTTATGGGGTGATTGTGAGCATCAGAGGTAAGACAAACTGAGTATTTATTAAGTACATGGTGGGTCTTGACTAAGTGGAAGTGGCCACTATTGGGTGATGCAGGTCTGGAGTACCAGCTATTGCTGTGTAACAAACAATCCTGAACCAAGTGATTCATGACTGGCTCATCTCATGAGGTAGTTTTGCTGACCTGGGCCATGCTCAGCTGATCTTAGCTGAGCTCACTTATGTGTCTGCTGCCAGCTGATGGCTCTACTGGCACTTTATGATTTAGGATGGCTGCAGCTGGATGACTTTTCCCTACTCTATGTGGTCTCACAACTTGTAGCAGACTAGCCTTGGCTTGTTCAGTTAGTGGCGGCCAGGGTTCCAACACAGGGAATAGAAGTGTGCAAGGCCTTTTGAGGCAGAAGCTCAAAACTGGTATATTGTAACTTCTATCTCATCGTATTGGCCAAAGCAAGTCGTGAGGTGCAACCAAGAGGTTAGAAAATAGTCTCCCTTTTGATCGGAGGAACTGCACTATCACATTGCAAGACAATGGACACAGGGAAGAGGACACGATTGGGACTATCAGTCAACCACAGTAGTTTAAACAATTGAAGATTTTTTTAGAGGTGAGCAGTCCGGGACAGGGGTGTAGCTACACAGTGTCTTCAGGAACTCTGGCTTCTATTTTTCTACTCAGTCATCTTTAGCTTTCCCTTCCATCTCGACAGTCACTTCATGTCCCAAGATGGTTGTTAGAACTCCAGCCACCATATTTGTTCCAAAAAGGAGGAAGGGGCATGTGAAAAGGATGTGCTTTCAAGTTGAGTCAGCCCCAGTTCTAGCTTTCCTGAAAGCGCTACCCAGTGGTCTCCTAGAATCAGTTGCTAGCAAAAACAGGGTGGGAGGAGTGGATGTGACGGGCTAATTTGCAGTTCTTTTCATAGAGGCCATTGATTAATTATTTCAAAAGACTTGCATTAGCCCTACTCTGAGCCAGACATGGGGAATGGAGAGCACATACTGGACCGAAGAAACAAGACAAGCTTAGTTCACTCTCATTTATTAGCTCCTCTGCTGAGCCTGACCCAGGATGCTTCCCCGGAGGCTCTCAGTGAGCCTCATAGGGGCTCAGAGACCCAGGGGAAGGCAGGTGGGCTCTGGGGGCCAGGCTGTAGCAGTAACTGCATGTCTCCCTCCAGCAATGCTGTGACTGCTGTGGCCTGGGGCTCCGTGTGCGGGCTGAGGGCCAGTCATGCGAGTCCAACCCCAACCTGGGCTACCCCTGCAACCACGTCATGCTTTCCTGCTGTGAGGGTGAAGACCCCCTTATCGTGCCTGAGGTTCGCCAGGCTCCAGAGCCTGAGTCTGCACCACAGAGAGGTGGGTGTTGCCTCACCCTGAGCCAGGGTCTATAGGATGGTTGGGTGAGGGGGAGAGAGCTTTTGGGGCTTCTAGCCAAGGCTGGGTGACCCTGACCTTCTGTGGAGACTCTGGGTCCACGGCCATTATAGCGTGGGGCACAAGTTCTGCACCACATAGTTCCTCAGTGGCTGCTAAGAATGGACTGAGGCCTGTCATTTCCAAGATGGTGATTTCATTCAGTTTTCCAAGTACCAATCACTTCACCCACTGAACTACCAACTGCCTACTACCTATCACCTTCCATTCTCATCCACGCTTTTATCCATCCATCATCTCACCTATCTCCCACCCATTCTCTGGTCTATTTCACCATCCATATCTCCACTCACTATACCATTCATCTACCATCCCTCATCTATCCATTCTCACATCCACTCATCCATCCATTCATCTCCCCCACCCATCTGCTTACCTGTTTGTCTACCCATGCACTCACACATTCATTTACTTATCCACCTGTTCACCTACCCATCTGTCTGTCCATCCACCCATCCGTCTGTCTGTCCATCAGTCTTTCCATCCGTCTTATTCGTCTGTCTGTCTGTCCATCTGCTCATGTATTCACCACCCCCAAATCTTTCACGTATCCATCATTCACTTACCTTTGTTCATCATCCTCCATTCCTCTCACCTATGCCATTCTTGTGTCCTCAGGGAACAGGGTATAATTGGTATGGAGAATGCATTTATAAATGTTGCCCCACCTGCCTGGTCAGCCCCTTCAGGCTAGCACTGTCTTTTATGTCTATATTCTCAGTGCCTGGCCCTGTGCTTGTCCCAGAAGAGTCACTAGCAAATGACTAAATGAATGATGGGTTTGTTTGGCAGCCCCCCCTTCACCACCAGACCATGAGTTCTCTGAGGGCTGATCAGACCTGTGCCCTTACCCTCTCTATCCTTACCTGGCACTGGTCCCCAGAAGCCATAGGGGGACCAGTGTGTGTGTGGGGGGGGGAGGAGGGAGCTCTAGGTACCAGTGTGGGCCCTGGAGCCTGCGTTTGCTCCTGCCTGAGGGTCAGGAGCCAGGTCATAGAGCTTCCAGTCCTCAGTGTCCCTGGGGTCTCCTCCCTCATTTGCCCTCCATGTGCTGTGATTATTGTTTCAGCTGCCAGGTTCAGCCTCTGTCACCCTATCTAAGACTATCTCTTAGGGCCATTAGCCTTCTTTGTGCCTCTGGGACAGCAGGAGCCCAATCAAGGTGTGCCAGTGAGTCAGCAGGTGTTCTTTGTGGAGCTGGGCCTGCAGCCCTGGGTGGCCACTTCTGCAGATGTTCATACATTCTGCCTTGACCAGCCAGGGACCAGGTGCCCAGGAAGGTTCCAGAAGCACTGGCCTAGCCTTTTCTGCAGCTGTGTGGACCATCTGGGGCACCTGTGGGTCCGTCCTGGGCACTTCAAGGATTGGGAATGAAAATCCCAGAGGTGGTCCTATCATCAAGGTTAACGTGTGGCCCTTGGAGTCCAGCAGACTGGTTGGAATCCCAGCTCCACTGTTCTCCTCAGCAAGTCATGGGCCTTCTTGGAGACTTTGTCAGACACAGATTCTGCTCTCCACCTCACTCCCTGTGGGGAGGGATGGCAGGATGCTCATCAAGGGCTTGTGATTCCTTACCCTGTTACTGTCACCATGTTTTCATAGTCCAGATGAGGAAGCCTCACTTCGCCCTTGTGCAAATCGGGTCCTTGGCATAGTTGGGACTACCAGTAGACTCCTGTTTTTGACCTGGACTCTGGTGTACTGGATTTGACCAGACCCAGTCATCCCTGGGTCTCTGTCTTGATAATGCAAGACAGTGGAAATCTGGGCATGGGAATTAGATGCCTGCTGTCCATGAGAATAAGATGCCTGCTGTCCAAAGTCAGGGGTTCCTGGGAGAAGACCTTGTGTCCTGTGGGTACAAAGTTTGCTGGATGTGATGGTGGGCCCAACAGAAACCTGGGTCTCCCAGCAGGGCGGGGCAGTGGCAAGCATATAGAGGGTGGACCAGGCCAAGGGAAGCTGACAGGACAGAAGGATTGGCCAGCCTCACCAGCCAGCATGGGCACAAAGGCTGGCCAGTCCAAGGAAGTGCCACATGATGAGGTTAGATCTAGGGGCTGCTTGAGCATGGGTGTAAAGGCCAGGGTAGCAACCATAAGTCTGATTCAAGGTAAAATTTGGGAGGAAGTCCAGCTTCAGGGGTCAGAGGGTAGACACGGGGCCAAGAAGGGTCCAGAGCCAGAGGTTCGTGTTTCTCTCCTTCAGTGACTAACTGGTGGGTAACCTGGGCCTCAGAGGACACAACTGGCAGGTCAGATCAACCTGGTTGCCAGTCCTGCTCAGGTGACCTTGTGGAAATCAATATGCACCTCCAAGCTTCAGCATCACCGCTGCTGGGGGGATTATTGTGAGAAATGTGCTGAGGAAGCAGGCTGAGCATGAACCCTGAAGCATGGCCAACAGCTTGCCCAGCAGAGCTGGGCACAGGGTCATAGGGCTGGAACATCAGCCATCACGACCCGCCTGTAGGTGCCAGGCCTGGCCTGATTGGGCCGGAGCTTAATGTAAATGCCTTCAATATGAAACATGTTCTTCAGATGTGAGCATATGCAGTTGCTCCCTTGAGGGGCCTGGTGGCCTGGTGCTGGCAGACAGAGTTGGGGCCCCAGGCTGACATGGAGCGTGGAGGGGTTTCTGGCCTCTCCCTTTTCCATGACTGTATATCAAGAGCTTTCTAAGGCAGCTCGGCCCTAGAAACCTTCTCTCCCACTCTCACCGGCTCCCCAACGCAGCCTGGAAGGCATGGAGAGACCTAGTGCTATTCAACGTGACACAGCTGGGAAAGCCCGAGTGATGGTTCAGATCTTAATCTGATGGAATCCAGGTTTGGGGCCCTTTCTGTTGCTAGGTGTTGTCCTCCCTGATGTCCCTGAGGTCAGAGGTCTGAATCCTGTTTATCACTTTAGCCAAAGCTTCCTGAGGGCTTTTGTGGACCTGGCTCTGATGGGTTCACTCTTATTGCTGAGGTTTGTCCACCCACCCATCCTACATCCATCCATCCACCCATCTTTCATCCATGCACGTTGCCTCATCTGGGCACGCAGAGTTCTGATGAGGACCTGCGCTGATTTTCGGGGGGCCTGAAGTCTCAGCCTCCTGCTGGGGCCAACCCAGCTCCCATCATGAGCACTGACTCCTGCCCAGTTTCAGAGGTGCAGTTGGGGAGCCGGGAGGCCCTGTCACTGGGCATGGAGACTGAGCTGCCCAATAGCCTGCCCGGTGATGACCAGGATGAGTGCCTGCTCCTCCCGGGGGAGCTTTGCCAGCACCTCTGCATCAACACTGTGGGCTCTTACCACTGTGCCTGCTTTCCCGGCTTTTCACTGCAGGATGACGGCCGTACCTGCCGCCCAGGTAAGTACCTGGATAGTCCGGGGCCAGGGCCGGGGCTGGTCTTGCCAGGCATTGTGGCATTCCAGCAGTGGGGACTACGGGGTACTTCTCCCGCCACCCCACATATTGGAACCTGCAGGATCTGGGGGCCTCTGGCAGTGGGCTTTGTGAGGCCAGGCAGATAGGCTCCTCTCCAGAACTGTCTTCAGGGTACACCCCAGTGCCCTGTTCTGGGTTCGGGTGCAGAGCTAGGACCCAAGCCACAGAGACTCCCATCAACCTAATCTGTGTCCCCATTGTGGGGCCCATGGTGGTTAAGCCCCAATAGGCAGCCCAGGAGGTTGCCACTGCCCCCGGTCTGGGAGGACTTTCTCTCTGCCAGCTTCCAGGGATAGATTTGTCAGTCTAGAAATGCACTCCTCTTCTTCCTTGCCTCCTCTGTCCTAAATATCATACCTAAAGTGAGATTGCTACCTAATGTACATTGCTCCCTGAGCCTCAGTTTTCTCTCCTGTGAAATGGGTGGGGGAGGATTTAAATGAGGCAATTCCTGTCAAGTGCTGGCATGGGGCCTGTTAGAGCCTGTGTCCTGGCTGAAGATGTGAGACAGACCTTCCCTCCTATCTGCTCTGCCTGGGACAGACAATGGCCCCTCACAGCCAGCGGCTGCAGAGGAGTCTGCACTGAGGTCAGAACCCTCCCAAGCGGCCCCCAACACCATCCTGCTACCACGGCCACAACCCAACACCTGCAAAGGTAAATTGTGTCTGGGGGTGGGTCTGGCCATGTGCAAGATGGGGTGCTTCTGCTTGGGGGGTTGGTTGGTCTTGCCTATCAGAACTCAGTGTAGTTGAGAAGGTGAGAGTTGTGGGGAGGGTCAGCCGGAGTGAGAGAGGATATGGAAATAGAGGACAGCCTGGGCGATTATAAGTGACCCCAAGCAAGCCATTTAGCTACTTTTTTGGTCTTAATTGCTGTGAAATTGAGAGGATACGTTCTTGCTTGTGGAACTGTTGTGCAGATAATAATGTGTAAAAGCTCTTTTTTCTGCTCCTCTCTTTCTTGGTCCTGCTCTCTACATCTGCTCTGTATTCTCTTTCTCTCTCCTCCTCAATCCCATCCCTGTTTCTTGAGGGAAGCTTTAGTGTCTGAGTGGTGGTGGTGGTGGCAGGACATCTAGTCCATTATCTCAGACACAAGCTGAGGTATGAGCCAATTTAACAGTGAACTTGGAAAAGGGGGCAGGAGTGAGGCTCCTTGGCTCCCAGTCCCTACGCCTGTAGGTTAGAGTCAGAAGTGATGAGCCTGCTCTGATTTCTGTGCATTTCCTCTCAGACAATGGGCCTTGCAAGCAGGTGTGCAGCATTATTGGAGACACAGCCATGTGCTCCTGCTTTCCCGGCTATGCCATCATGGCGGATGGTGTGTCCTGTGAAGGTGAGTACCATGCAACCTGAGTTTCCTGTGGTCAGGGCCCCAGGGTGAGATCGGACAAACAGAATGAGGGAGGTGGTCCGGATCTAAAACTGGGAAGGTTAGTGAGGGAACAGGTTTGGCTGCGTTGATGAAGAGCCCCAAATAGCTTACCCAGAGATTCCTCTCATGTCGCCATGCACAGGTGTTCGTGCAGTCTGGGGTGGACACAGATTGGCCAGGACCCCACACCTCTTTTGTCATGTCTGCTGCTCTCTAGAGCAGTGCTTCCCACCCTTGCGCCAGCTGGAAGCCTGGCGACAGATGGATCCTGAGAGTTCTGTAGAATCCCCAAGAGCTTCACCCAGTAGGTCTGGAGTGGGGCCTGAGAATTTGTATTTATCACCAGGTCCCTGGACCACACTCCAACTGCTCTATCCTTGAAGGTTGCCTGTCTGCATGACCAAAGTCTATTCTGACCACATTGTCCCTGTTCCAGCCATGGGTGGAGAGAGGGAGTGCACATCCAATTACTGTAGGGCAGGACCTGGAAGTGGTATTCACCCCTCCCATTTGCCTCTGATAGGGGGCAAGACTAGGGAGTAAGAGTCCCAAATGGATGGCGTGTACTCAGTTCTGTTACTGAAAGCAAGGAGGGGACAGTGGATGTTGGTGACAGTTAGCTACCTCTGCCATGAACAAAGGGGTTGAAGAGGTTCCAAAAGCATGTCTCTTTCATGCCTTTGACCCTGCTGGTCTGGATCTTGTCTCAGTGGGGCCTCTGTCAGCCGGCCTTCCTCCTGTGAGATGGGGCATTGGGCCCAACACCTGCTGGGTGGTTTCCACCGTGAATGGTGCCTTGGGAACAACCTGAGAGGCCTCAAGACTGCACCTCTTCATGTCTGGAGTCAGGACAGACATGGAGCAGGCACATGGTCTAACATACACTTCAGTTCAGGTTCAAGTTCAGGAGAGGTGTCCCTGGTGGGTTTCGGGGGTACCAGGATTAAGTCTGTCCAGGAAAATGCCCACATCCCTGCCAGAAGTGGAAACCCATATCTAGGCCCTTGGCTGAGACAGTTTTCTGATGTGTATGAAAACCATCCAGTGCCCAGAGAGGACAGGAGACATGCCCAGGGCACACAGCATGGTGATGACTGGCAAGCCTTGATCTCAGGTGGCAGGGTCAGATCTCAGGTGCCTTCTGGGCTTTGTTCCCCATCTCTTGGGGTCTTGAAGCCAGGATGTGTCTCTCCTGGGCTGGGATTCCCTTGGGTCTGGCCAGGCTGCAGGCCAGTGTCTGCGTCTCTCCAGATCTCCCTCCTCTGCAGAGTCCCTGGCAATAAAGGCTGTGGGTTCCAGGCCAGAGGTTGCAGACAGGCATTTTGAGGGTGCAGTTTTAGCCAGCAGGGGAGTCCTGCTGGGCTCTATCCTATTTAAAATAATCAAATGAGTTCCCAACCATGAAAACCTCAAGAATTTTTTAAAATGTCCAGATTTCCGTTTTCTCTTGAAACTTTGTAAAAACTGCCTACTAGGGTCCCACAGCTCGGTCCCTCTGCAGTGCCTGCAGAGCCTCCTCTGGCTCCTCCTCCCATTATGTTGCCAGCCTGACCTCCGAGCACTTGAGTTTGCAGCCCCTGCTTGTGTGGCCCCCAGGCTGCCTGTGGAGGTGAGCACCTCCAGGATGTGGGGGCAGACAAACTGCATCTGCCCACTTCGACAGTTGGCAGGCAGGCTGCTTACCCTCTCTGACCCTGACCTTGCCACCTGTCCTTACTGGGATTCCAGCTTTGACTGTACAAACTCAGACTTGGGCCCAAAGCCCAGAGCCGTGGTCGGCAAACTGCGGCTCGAGAGCCACATGCAGCTCTTTGGCCCCTTGAGTGTGGCTCTTCCTAAGCCTTAGGAGTACCCTAATTAAGTTAATAGCAGTGTACCTACCTATATAGTTTAAGTTTAAAAAATTTGGCTCTCAAAAGAAATTTCAATCGTTGTACTGTTGATATTTGGCTCTGTTGACTAATGAATTTGCTGACCACTGGCCCAGAGGTACCACTGATGGGCTGGGAGGTACCCAGCTGTGCCGCCCCTCTCTAGGCCTCAGTTTCCCTGTCTGTGACTGGATGCTCCATGACAGGCTATGCCCTCTAATGGCCCTTCTGTTTTTCCTTCTGCGGCTGTCACTAGACCGAGACGAGTGCCTGCTGGGTGCTCACGATTGTAGCCGGCGACAGTTCTGTGTGAACACCCTGGGATCCTTCTACTGTGTCAACCACACAGTGCTCTGTGCCCAGGGCTTTATCCTCAACGTGCACAGGAAGTGCGTGGGTAAGCGAGAGCCCCTGCTGCCGCTCTGCGCCACCAAGCCCATCACACGCTCCAGGGCCTGCCCTCTGCACTTGAGCTCTCAGCACAGCTGGCTCCCCATGTCATGTCCTGCGTGTCCTGGTGTCCTGTCCTGTTTCTCCACCGACGCCCCTGGGAGGCTGCTTTCCTTAAGGACCTGCCTGAGAGTCAGAAAACTCTAATTGATGTATGACTTGGCTGGATCACTGGAAGAAGGAGGTCAGACCTGTGGGCAGCAGGAGAGAGTGTGTGAAGCCTGGAGGCAGAGGCCTGGGTATGAAGCAGGACCCTCTAGTATCCCTCTGGCCTTGGATAAATGACTTCCATTTTCCAAGCCTCACTTGGTTCATCTCTAAAAACAAGGCACTGAGGGCCCCGATCCTCCTCAGAGGTTATATTACCTTGTGTGTGGTGCAGCGGAGGCTGGGCATAGTGACCACGTGATGGCAGCTGCTGAGATTGCCCTTAGATGTATCCAGACTCCCCTCCAGAGGTGAATGGATGAAGCTGGATCTGAAAGACCAGCTTTGCACCCCAGCTTAGTGTTCATTTGCTGTGTTACCATGAGCCATGGGGCTCTCCTCTGAGACTGTTTCCTTCCCTCTAACCTCAGAGCTTGGAGGACTGGGCAGGGCTGGTGCCCCGTTCCTGGTCTGCACATGGTGCTTGGTGACAGCCTGTCCTACCTGCCTCACAGTGCCTGTGTAGCTGAGCGCTGGGGCTCCCAGTGTACTCTGTGGCCAGCGAGGTGGGTGGACTTGATGCTGACCTGTATCTGGAGGAAACGTCATAGACCCGAAGTCACAGGGACTGGGACAGACTGGGATGTGCTACGGAAGAGACAGGCCAAGGGAGAGGCCATCCTAGCTGTGGGTCTGCACATGCCTCCTGTTTGTACCTGCCTCCAAGGACGGCTAGGACTTGCTGGTGGAAGGAACAACTCACACAAAGGTGTGGTGGTAGGAACAGTGCAGGTGCGATCAGGGCACATGTCCAGAGCCCAGTCCGTCGTCTGTGTGTTTTGGGACCATGTCCAGGCTGAACATGTCTGTTCCCTCGCGCCTCTGCTGCTGGACTGATAGGCCGTGGTGCTGGGCTGTGCAGCCACTGCAGACATGTTTGCCCTGGCCTCCAGCCATTGGCACAACATGTGCCCTCCATGTGCTTGCCAGCGGTGGGGCAGTTCTTCCTGTCTGGGCTGTGTGTGTGTGTGTGTGTGTGTGTGTGTGTGTGTGTGTCTGGGAAGGCAGGTCCCAAGCCTGCCAGCACCCCTCCCAGGATGCCTGCCTGCTTGCCATGGCGAGGGGTACAGCTCCGCTGGTGGCCTGGAGAAGAGACCATGTGCTGAAAGAGTTCCTGGGCAGCCAGGAAGCAGGTTCTGGGATTAAAGGAGCAAAGGTCCATTTCATTTATCAAATTTATGAGTGCACATTTTCACTCATCTCTTCTCTCCTTACTCATCCTGCACAGACTTCTCAGGGTCTCTTCTTTGTCCTCCTCATCCACTCACATGCTCATCTTATCTGTTACAATCATTCTTTCCATCATTCTTCATCCACAAATGTGTACTTGTATCTTCTGCAGTTCACTTGTTAGCTCCAGGCATGTTTGTTAGCCCAAGCTGGGAGATGGGAAACTGGTGCCCAGATGAAGAGTGTGTCTGCTGCAGCCAGAATGCCTGGGTTCAAACCCTGGCTCTGCCACTTTCTAGTTATAAGACCTTAGACATGTCATTTAACCTCTCTGAGCCTCAGTTTTCTCACCTGTGAAATGAGATAGTAATAGCACCCACCTCAAAGGGTCACTGGGAGATTAAATGTATAGAATTTACAAGTGTTTGATGTAATTATTGTGATTCAGCACATGTGTTATACTGAGGCAGCCTGCTCAGGTAGTGAGTTTTCCATCACCAGAGGTAAAGTAGGACAGTGTTGGGTGGTGCCAAGTCCAGAGGCCCTCTAATGGACATGTGACCTCTGTGAGCACTCCCCTGTGCCTTGCTGTTTGCCTTTTGTGCCTTGCCCTTTAAGAACGGTCTGGACTCCTGGGAAAAGTGTCCAAGGTCGGCTGGGCTTTGAGAAGATGGGAGGGGAGCAGTCGCCAGCTCTGGGGCCTAGCCCACAGCAGGAGAAAGGGCACAGTTGTGGGCTGGGCCCTCAGGGATCTGTTCTTGCCGCTGCCCGCTGCCCGTGCAGGCTGTGTGGCTTTGGTCCAGCCACACCCCCTCTGGGAGACCTGTGGCAGAATGGCAGCTCCTGTGCACTGCCTGATGCCGGCAAGCCTCAGTCAGTGGTGTCTGCTGCTGTTCACACCATGATTCCTCCCAGGATCTTGGCTCCTGTCTTGGCTCCTGGACTCCGGTGTCTCTAGGGTCCTGGGAATATGTCTCCCTTTGTTAATCTAGCCTGCAAATCAGAAGCTCTTATTTTGCCAACCAAGCCTTCCTTGGAAGCCACTGACCCAGAACTCTCTCTTTTCCTACCCCATCCCCATCCAAACCAGGGTTGGCCTGGTCTTAACCATTTGTTTCACCTGTGAGTTTGGGAGAGTCTCTTTGCCCACAGCCCTGCCTCCCTCCTCTCCACCTGGTCCCATCATCCTTGTGGACTCGGCTCAGATGTTGCTCCTCCTGAGCAGAGACTTACAGTTTGGCCCCAAGTAGATGGTGCTCTGTCCTGGGTCTGGAGACAGCTTTCCTCCCGAGTCACCACCCTGCCTTTCCTGTCTGCCCTGCCAGGCTGACAGTTCCTTGAAGGCAGGGGCTGTGGTGACACTCCCACTTGACCACCTGGACCTAGCATCGCAGAACAGGCACTAGTGAATGTGTGTCCAGGAATGACAATCAGTGAGTGACTGCCCCCACCAGGCACAGCTTGCAGGCCGGCACTGCCATGTGTCCGTGTGTCCTCGCACCAGACCTGCGGTGATGCCAGAGTTGGGAACTCTCCACAGGCCCTCGCCCTCGCCCTCGTTGCTGCTGCTTCTCTCTCCCTTCCCCACTGCTCATCTGGGAGTCAGTCCTTGGCCTCTTCCTTCTGTGCCCTGTCCCCCAGATGAGCCCAGCAGTTGCCTGCTCTCAGATTAGTGCCTTTATGTAGACCCCTTCAGTGAACTCAGAGGTGTGTCTCCAGCTGCCTCTTGACTCAAATTCACTGTGGCCACAGGGCTCCCGACCTTCCCCCATGAGCCTGCTTCTCCTGCCACCCTGTCCCAGCTGCTAGTGTTCACCTGTCACCTGCTTGACCAGGAAGCTTTGCAGACCTCTTGGCTCCTCTTTTTCTCTCACCTTATCTCAGGTACTGGTGGATCCTGTCGGTCCCATCTTCACTATATTTTTCAGAACCGACTGCTTTTCCTTGCCTCCATGGATGGCAGTCCAGCATCTCCTAACAGCTTCCATTTTCATCCTTGGAGTATTCACATCCAGCCAGCTCCTACCCCCTTCCACATCCCCTAACACTGTTCTCTACCCTGCAGGACACCCCTCCTGGCTGGCCCTTGGGCCTGCTTAGCAGGCCTCTTCAGGGCCCTGGCATTGGCTGTCCCCTCTACCTAGAATATTTGCTGGCCTCATTCTGTCACTTCTTCAAATGCTTGCTCTAATATCCTCTTCTTTGAGGACCCTCCCCTGACCTCCTACTTAATGTGGTGTGTGCCCACCCGCCCTCAGCACTCCTCCTCTCCTTCACCCACAGTGCTCATGACTGCCCTTCCTATTACACGTCTGCTTACTCAGCCATTGGGCCTCCACTTTTTGAGTGTCCCCAGGATGGCCGGTTCGTCTGTCTTGTTCACCATGAAATGAACCCCTAGTGCCAAGAACAGTGCTTGTTGGCACATGGCAGGTACTCAGTATATCTCTGTCCAATGAATGGATGCCTAGACAGGTGGATGTCAGCACTGTACTACTCTGGGTAGTGAGCACCTTGAGGGCAGTGCTGGCTGCGCTCAGCCACCACCTAGGAAGCACCCTGTATGCAGCCTCTGATGGTATCACTCTCCCTGCAGACATCAACGAGTGTGTGACGGACTTGCACACGTGCAGCCGGGGTGAGCACTGCGTGAACACAGTAGGCTCCTTCCGCTGCTACAAGGCTCTCACCTGCCAGCCGGGCTACACTCTTGAGGAAGGCGAGTGCACAGGTGAGGACAGGTCTGCAGGCCTTACCCCTGATCTGTCGCCTGACCTGCTGTCTCCACCCTCCCGCCCCTTCAGACCCATCCCTGACCTGCCCAGAGTCACGTGCTCCCAGCAGTTAGGTTTTATGCCTCTGGGAAGACCCCACAAATGATGATGTTTGAGGTAGAGGGGGTGTCTGAGGCCGATGCGCTATCCTAGGGTGTGCTCCTGGCTTTGCTACCGTGGCTGGTGTCTGGTGCCACATATCCCCTCGCCATGCCTCAGTTCCCATTTGTATGTTGGGGTGGAGCTCCATGGATCACTTCTATCCCTTTAACTGGAAAATTCTAGCTTCCTAGAAAGAGGGAGAAGTTTCACTGAACCTCTTCCTGTGCCTATAGGGTTCTGGGTGGCAGGGACATGTGGTAGGCATGGTGTCCTTGTTCCTGATCTCCTGGTGAGGGACATGAGGCCACACAGGCAAACAAGAAGATGGCAGAGCAGTCTTGGCTGGGTGCTCTATTAGGTGGGGATTCAGAGGGGGCCCCTGTGGAGGTGAAGTCGGAGTGGAGACCTACATAATGAGAAGCTCCTGGGAAGGGTGTTCTAGGCAGGGGAACAGCAAGTGTGAGGTCTTTTGAGAGGAGAGAGATCTTGGCACAAAGAACAGAAAGAGAATTTCGAGGGTTGGAGCAAGCATGCCGACAGCTTGGAAGGAGGGCACAGGGTCCGCAGACCCTGTTAGGAAAGGAGCTTGGAGTCTGTTTCACATGTGATATGAAGCATTTTGTTTTTAACTGAAAATGTCCAGAAGAACATCACCAGGGAGGGAAGACCTCCTGAAACGCTTGTTTGTTACAAGTCCCCGAGGATGATGAGAAGGAGCCCTGAGGTTGGGTGTGAGCTCAGGGAGGTGGATTAAGACTAGTACAGTCCTGTCTGGCTCTAAGCTGATCGCGGAGTTGGAGGTTGGATGAGTTAGGAGGAGAAATGAGCCCAGCCCCCTCTGCGGAGTTGGAGGTTGGGTGAGCTAGGAGGAGAAATGAGCCCAGCCCCCTCTGCCTATCTGAGTGCACACACGTGACCACCCACAAGGGCAGATGCAAATCCAGGGCCAGCCCCTCTCGAAGAAGCCAGACGCCTGGGGAGGGGTGCCACCTCCCTGGACATGCCCCAGCATCCCCTGACCCTCTCAGCACAGGGTGCTGGGCTCCTCGGAGTGTGGAGAGGCTGCCTCTCAAGCACCAGGTGGTAATCAGAAGGGGCTGTGCACGTTCATGTCCAGCTGCCTGGAACCCAGTACAGGGCCCCCCAGAGACTGGGCTACTGTGGAAAAGTGGTGGAAGCTTTGGAAACCAGAGAGGGGATGGATGGACAGAAGACATACAGACTCATGGGCCTTGGTCTGGCTGTCAGTGAAGCCTAGTGAGTTTCAGCCTGCCTTTGTGAGTTTCAGCCTGCCCTTCTGTGTCACCTTTCTGCTCTGCCTGTTTCCTGGTCTGTAAAGAGCGGCCTGATTGCCCGCTGTGCAGGAAGTGCGGGAAAGCAGAGGGCCAGTGCCGGGTAAGCCAAGGAGCACTGTGTAGAGGTGGGGCCCTATTCACCTGCTCAGTGCCATAGTAGGTAGGGGCAGCAACTCCATCCAGGTCTGGCAGCTCCACCCTCAGAAGCCATGAGCCTTGCTGCTGCCAGCGCCACTTCCAGAGAAGCCTGGGCACTTGCCCTTAGGGATCTGAGCTCAGGCCCCCATTTTTGCCTACCCAGGGAAGCTTGGGGCAGTGGTTAAGGGTGCAGGCCCAACCAGCACCCCCTAGCTATGGAACCATGTCTGTGCGTCGGCTCCCCCTGTGTAAAAAGGGGCTTGCCATAGCCCCTACTTTCTAGGGTTGTTGTGAGCATTAAGTAGATAAATACATCTGCGTGCTGGGAACAGTGCCTAGTACCATGGAAGAGCTCAGTAAATATGGCGATGCCATTATTTCATTGTTATTGGGTGTGGGCTGGCAGCGACAGTGCTCTGCCCGATTCCCATGATGCAGAATACCTTAGTAACCATCAAGTTCATGGTTGGATATGCGGGCAAGGGCCCACCAGCCTGCCAGCCCCTGACTCCCTGCCTCTGTGCCAGATGTGGACGAGTGTGAGCTGGGCACGCACAACTGCCAGGCGGGCTTCACGTGCCAGAACACCAAGGGTTCCTTCTACTGCCAGGCGCGGCGCTGTATGGAGGGCTTTCTCCAGGACCCCGAGGGCAACTGTGTGGGTGAGTGGGGTGGAGAGTGCCCTGTCCCGGGTGTCTTTCGAAAGGGCCGTGGGCCAGAGACTCTGAGGGTTTAGAGATCAAGGAGATCTGGCTTGCTGCTCTTACTCTCGCCCAGCCCCAGGTGTCACCTGCAGATCAGAAGCTCTTTTCCTGAGCTGTTGAACCTTGGCTGAGTTACTTCTCTTGTCCTCAGTTTACCCATCTGTGGGGTTGGACTGGATGAATGTGTACCCAGTTTATTTCAACCCAGTTAATAGGAAGGATATATTTTATATCTTGACATGGCGCGCGCGCACACACACACACACACACACACACACAACTGGAACACAAACCTCACAAAACATTACTTCATGTGGTACAGTAATGGGACCTGGAGGCTGACTGCATGTGTACTCATGGGTTGAGACCTGCAGTTTGACAGATACTGGCCTCGTTGTCCCCATGTGGATCTGATGAAGTCTCATGCTCTTCCCATCTCTCTTCCACGGCTTCCAAAGAGCCCGTGGTCTGCAGCCAGGAGGCTCCATCCACCCAAGGCTGCTGACCATGAGACCTGGAGGCGGAGCACCAGTATCCCAGAGGACCAGCACCATCAAGGCCACGCTCACCTAGGGAGGGATGAAAGACAGAGGGAGGTGGAGAGGCAGGCCCTGTGTGGGCCAGCCACTGGTGCAGACAGAAATGGATCTGTTAGAGTACAGCTCTGTCACATGCCCCCTCAACAGCTTGTGGGATGAGTGTCCCCATCTTACAGAGTGGACACTTTATCTGAAAGCTTCCTTAAGACTCTTCGGGGATCCCTCTAGCCAGTCTGGGATGTGGAGCACTTCCTGAGGCACCCCCTTAACAACTGTGTCTCAACATTGTCACAGGACACGGGCAACCCCTCAGGACATTACAAGCTATGGACATGAGAAGGTTGCTGTGGTCTGCCCTAGGACACCCAGCCAGTGTCCGGGCAAGGTGGGGCAGGGTCTGCCCGACTGCAAGCATTCCTCAGTGATTCACTCTCTGACATTTCCTTTGCCACTGCTAGATGTCTGGGTGGAACAAGACATCTTAGAGGGGAGAGATTAAATAAGCAAACACATTTATACAAGTGGCAGCTATTCAAGGGTGCTTTTCTCAAGGGATACAATGGTCAGGCAGGGCATCCCTGAGGAGGTGACATCGGGGCGGGGCCTGAGGAAATAAGGGAGCCAACCATGAAAATAGTAGGGGGTAGTGTGTGCCAGAGGAGGGGTGACAGAATGTGCAAAGGCCCTGCGTGGTGCTGTGCCCAGGCCTGGTGGGATGAGAAGGAGGCCAGTGGGCTGGGTACAGTGTGCAATAGCAATAGAGGGTGAATTTGGCAAGCTGGCAGGTTTGGAGAGGCCAGAGATGGGTATGACTTGCCACAGTTATCCTAGAAGTCAGCCTTGATTCCCCCCACTCCCTGGCTTTAGCTGCTCCATTAGAAAGCAACTGGCAGGTGCGTGGGTTCTGAAAATTGGAGCCTTTTGTGCCATGGAACAATCTGACCCCATAGTCCTAACCTGGGCTTATCTGGAGCCTAGGACCGGCCTCCTCCCAGTGTAGCCCTGGACCCAGATGCTGGGGCTGGGGAGGGGCTGTGCCAGGCTCCCTGTCACCCACACCCACCTCTGCAGACATCAACGAGTGTACATCACTGTCTGAGCCATGCCGCCCTGGCTTCAGCTGCATTAACACGGTGGGATCCTACACATGCCAGAGGAACCCACTGCTCTGCAGACGTGGCTACCACGCCAGCCAGGATGGGACCAAATGTGTGGGTAAGGCCAGACAGCTCTCTGCCCCCACACCCCCAGCCAGCCTTGGCCTTCCTGGGTTCCTGGCCTGTGGGAGTTCCCTGTAGGGGGCGAGCTTGGGCCTCAGGGTGTCTTTCTTACCTTCCCTTGGCAGATGTGAATGAGTGTGAGGCGGGCATGCACCACTGCAAGGAGGGCCAGGTGTGCCACAACCTCCCTGGCTCCTACCGCTGCGACTGCAAAGCCGGCTTTCAGCAGGATGCCTTTGGTCGGGCCTGTGTAGGTAGGTGGAGGCTGGTTGCCAAGATCCCTATCCAGCTCCCCTGAGCGGTGCCCACCTGCCCCAGGCCAGCCTTCTGGCCGCCGCCTCCTTTCTGCAAGCTCCTACCTCACCCTGACCTCTCTGGGCTTGACTGCTCTCCTGCCTCTTGTCTAGCCGTGGCTCTGCTCCCTCTGCTCTTCTCAGCCTCGTCCCCGTTGCCCTCTTCTCTTGCCCCTTGCTGTGTCTATCTGTCCCTCTGTCTGCCTCCAGTCTCCCTCCAACACTCTCACTGCCTTTCTCCCCTGTCCTCAGTCTTCTTGCTCCCCCCTCTCTGTCTGGCTCTCTCCCTATCTCTTCTGGGTCCCTGGATCCCTCTTCCAGCCCCCTCTTATACTGGGGGTGGAGGGAGACAACTTCTGGGAGTTGCCCACCCGCCTTCGTGGCCTGCCCACAGATGTGAATGAATGCTGGACCTCCCCTGGCCGCCTGTGCCAGCACACGTGCGAGAACACGCTTGGCTCCTACCGCTGTTCCTGCGCCTCCGGCTTCCAGCTGGCTGCTGATGGCAAGCATTGCAAAGGTACCGGACCCGGCACTCTTCCCCAGCCCTCCTCACTCTCCTCCTGGGAAGGAGAGTCTGCTGAGACCCTTGGAGAAGCTGTGCACCTCTCCCTGACCACTGGGCCTGGCAAAGGAGCTGGCCCTGCCCTGGGTCAGGACCTGGCCAGGACAGAGGAGCGTGACCAGGCCCAGCTGCATCAGACAGCATTTGAATGTACTGCTAAACTTGACCTCATTCTCACTCATTCATTCATTTGTATTATAATCACATGTGAGCACCTCCTTGTGCCTGGCTGGCAGCACAGTGTTGTAGGGATGCGGCCTCTTCCTCCGAGGCATTGCTGTGGTCATTCATTCACTTTCTGGCCCTTAAGCCTTCACACACCCCATCCCTACCTAATGCCCTTTGTCTACTGCTCTACTAGCTGATGTCTGCCCAGGTTAGGCTCTACAGAGATGAAACCAGTGTGGCCTCTGGGCCTGGAAGCTCAGAGCCTGGCAGAGATCATTCATTCATTCATTCATTCATTCATTCATTCTGTGTGTTGTGAGGTCCTGAGGATCTAGATGGGAATCAGTGGCCTGGGAGGCCCTGCCCAATCTGATTTCCCTCCTCCCACTCCTTCTAATCACTCTGTTCTGACCACACCCACCTCCGCTCTGTTCCTTGAGGGCACCACGCATGCGCCAAGTGCCATGTGCCATCTCAGGGTCATTGCTCTTGTACCTTCTTCTGCCTGGAATGCTTCCCTCGATGCCCACATGGCTTCGAAATTGCAACCCTCCCAGACACAGTGCCTGCCTCCTTCTCTGCTCTTTCTCCATTGCACTTGCTACCTTTTGACACACTGGTTATCCGACTCATTTAATTAGCTCCATCTCTCCTCCATTCCTCTGCAACACACATCAGTGGGACTTTATCCCTCTTGTTCACAGTGACATGCCCAGTGCCAGCAGTTCTTAGCTGGGTGAATGAAAGACCCATCTTGCCCACAGAGTCCAGTCCATGTTCCATCTAAGCCAGGAGGCGACCCTTCATTCAGTCACACACTCATTGTTCCGCTCACATTGTCCTGCACGCCAGCACTTGTGCCTCCCCTCCCCCATGCAGTGGCTGATGTTAAAGGCCTGCGGGGTTCCTTGTTAGCACCTGGGTGGCACTTGGAGAGCCATGTGTGCCATGTGCTGAGGACCCTCAGTAGGGAAGCATCTAGTTCCTGACCAGGGATCTGAGTCCAACCTGTGGCTGCTTCTTCAAGGCAGCAGGCCAGGCCAGGACTCCATAGTAAGTCCAGCCCTGCCCCTGCCTCAGCTGCCTGCCCCAGGTGTGCCACTTGTCCTTATCTGGGCCTTTGATTCCTCATTTGCTCGAGGGGAGGCTGGAGCTAATGTTCTCACAAGATACACCCCAGGTGAGCCTGGAGTCTGGTTTTCATCTCTGGGTTAGGGGATTCCACTGTGACCACCGCTGGTCTATCTGCAGATGTGAATGAGTGTGAGACCCAGCGCTGCAGCCAGGAGTGCGCCAACATCTATGGCTCCTACCAATGCTACTGTCGCCAAGGTTACCAGTTGGCCGAGGATGGGCACACCTGTACAGGTACCTCAGCTCTGCCCAGGGCCCCTTCCTGAGAGGCACCCCTTCCCTGAACACCTGGCTTCCAGAGAGTCTTTGCTTGGCCAGGGATACAGAGGACACTCAGAGGCTTTAGCATCAAATCAGAGTTGGAGTCCCATCGCTGTGACCTCTGGCTGTGTGACCTTGGGCAGATGCTTCCTGAGTCTAACCTTAGGCCCCTCCCCTGCAAAGTGGAGACCTGGTCCTGACCTGAGTGGGATGAAGGGTTCAGTTGAATGCATCCAGACCTGTGTTTGGTACCTGATTGTTCCTTAGCTGGTAGTATTTGTGGAGCAGCCCCAGGGAGCAAGCACTAGAATGGGAGTCCTGTTTTTGCTGTGTGGCCTTGGGCAAGTCTCTTCCTCTCTCTGAGCCCTATTGTCCTCCTCTGTAAAATGGACCCCCGAGCTCACATGGCTGTGAGTGGCTGGGCCCTGCCATTGGGCAGTGTCACAGAGTGAACCTCTCTCTGGCAGACATCGACGAGTGTGCTCAGGGTGCCGGCATCCTTTGTGCCTTCCGCTGTATCAACGTGCCAGGGAGCTACCAGTGTGCATGCCCAGAGTGGGGCTATACCATGATGGCCAACGGCAGGTCCTGCAAGGGTAAGCAAGGGGTCCCTGCCCACCAGAGCCTCAGCCAGGACCCTAGCAGACTTGGAAAGCCTCAAACAGCATTCTGTGCCCTTGGAAGTCTGACACCAAGGGCTTAAGTACAGAATGGCCAGTGCCTTTGGTGATCTGTGGCTGGGATGGGAAAGGTGACAATCTTTCTGCTTCTTGACCCAGCTTAGAATTTTCCAGACTTGGACTCAGCTCTGGGCCTTGCCCTAGGAGCAGGGCAGAGATCCTGTGGGTGGTTCTAAAAGACACAAGAGACCTGTCTAGTGAGAAGTCTGCAGAAGAACAGCCTTAGGGGTCCCAGTCTCTGTCCCCAAGTGTTCCAGATGCTATCCAGAGACCAGGCCAGCCAGGTCTTTGGGCCCAGAGGGTGAGGTGGGTCCCCCAAGTGTTGGCAAAGGGATCACAGAGAGGCTTATCTCAGAACCACATACTGAAAAGACTCCCCAGTCAGAGGTGTGCAGGGCTGGGAAGGGATACAGAGGAGAAAGTGGGCTCCCTGGCACTGGAGACATGCAGAGAGGATCTGGGCAGTCGCCTGTTAAATGTGCAATCGAGGGACTACTTCCCTGGAGGGGGAACCAGGTTCTGTGACATTTAATCTTCTAAGTTGGAGAGCTATAATCTTTAGTTCCATCGGAATATACTGAGGCCATAAAATTCTGGCAAGTGACCAGCGCAAGGTGGAATGGTCTGGAATCCACCTGGGGCAGGTTATAGCAGCAGCACTAGCAACCCCCTGGGAAAACCAACCACTCAGCTCCTCAGAGCATGGCCACCTGTGCCTCCTGGCATGCATGACCAAGTCTTTCCAGGCAGTGGAGCTGAGAGCCTCGAGGCCCCTGGGTTGCAGCTTTGGTCTCCTTGTGCTTCTGGGGGGCCAAGGGTCAGGGTTGAGGCTTGGAAGGGTACAGAGCTAGACCAGTTGTTGCTGCCTATAAGTGAATCCTGAGATCAAATTCATAGGTCTCAGCCAACCGTGTGTGTGTGTGTGTGTGTGTGTGTGTGTGTGTGTGTGTTTAATGTAGAATAGGATATAGGATCAGGTAGGGTGAAATAGACATGATGTAGGTCAGAGTGCACTGTGCCCATAAGGCTTGTTTCAGTTCACATGTGTGCCCTTAGTTCCAATGCAAAAGGATTCCTTACTGTAGGTTGATGTAAATTAATAATAATAAATTAAAAGGTTCTGAGAGAAAACAGGTAAATTAGGACTTGGAGGCCTGCTGGGCTCACTCACAGAAGCTGACCTGGGTCTCCCTAGCTGCAAACCACTCTGCTTTTTAATTTTTAAAAAATAATTGGTATAGACTTCATAAAAGGTAGGGATTTTACCCACCATAAACTGAGCTGTGTGGGAAATACTTTATGTTCCCAGAATATGACTTCATTCTTGAGATCGAGGCTCTATCCCTGACGGAAGAACAGTGTGGTCACTTCTAAGAAGGCTGTCAGAACCAAGTGACTTTTGCTCTTGATGGCACTTCAGGTTGAAAACTTGGTCACATTCAAGACTGTCTCTCCCTGGCCCCTCCTCCCTGGCCCACGCTAGCCAGGGTCAGAGGAGTGCCCAGACGTCCAAGGTGCCTGTGCTATACCAGAGGGCTCCCTGGGCCCAGGCTCTGCTGGCCATAGGCGCATCTGATCGCGGTGCGGGTCTTGCCCTTTTGTCCCCTCACAACCTAACCAGTGGCCCACTTCTTTGAGATGCAAAAGAGCTGGTGAGGTGCAGGTCTCCTCTGTAGTCCAAACTGCATCGTCAGCCACCATCAGGAGGTCCTCCACTCATGCCACTTTTATTTTCTGTCCAAACTGTTTTGTTGGAAGAGTCTGTGTCACAGGTGGACAAGGCAGAGCTCGAATGCTGGTTCTGCCTGGTCATGTCTGCTTCCCGAGTCATGTCCATGTGGTGCCCCTGTCTGCAGCCACTGACCTCCGAGCTGAGCAGATGCTCCTTTGTGCTCCCTGGTCCTGTTCTGACTTGGACCAGGCACTGAGTCTTAGGGTTCCAGTGGAGCGAGGCCTGGGGCAGTGTGTGCTGGCCAGTGTCCCATGTCAGCACCTGTCCTTCTCCAGAATAAGAAACTGGAAAGAAAGAGGTTAGGGCATGAGACTCGGCCCGTCCCTGGAACATGTGCTGAGGGAAGGGCCTTGACCGTATCCGCTAGCATGTGGAGTGGTGCCTAGCACATGGTAGGTGCTCATTGAACGTTCCACCATGCGACTGAGCTGAGAGGCAACTATTGCCGATATTTGGATGTTTTTCCTTCCAGTCTCTCTTTCTGCCAATATACATATATACACACACACACATACACACACACACACACACACATACATATACATATATATATACATATATACAGGGTAGAGCAAAAGTAGGTTTACAGTTATTTGTGTGGAAAATAATACAATAATTAATAATAATGCAAGAGTAAACTCTGTTTTGTTTACTCACAACTGTAGACCTACTTTTTGCCCCACCCTGTATACACAGAATATAATATTAGCTAAAATCATGGGGAAAATAACCTGGAATCCTGCTTTCTTAGTGCATGTGAAGCTCTTACCAGCATTCCCCTCAATGTGGGCTAGCTTTTAGCAATGCTGTTAGTCTCCCCACTGACTCTGTCCCCCATTTCTGCATTTCTGCTGTGGCATCAGCACCCCGGATGGGGCTACAGTGGCGCCCCTGTGTGTCCGGCCCTGTTGGCTCTCCTTTTGGCTTCAGCTCTCCAGGAGAGGCTTCAGGGTCAAAGCCCCACAGATGCCAGGGGCCTGGAAGCACCAAGGGGCAAGGACCCTGGGGTCCTGGGGAAGTCCCTTCTGAACACATCTGTCAGTAGGGCCAGGGCAGACAGTAAGAAGCTGCTCCCACCCTGTTCCTGCTCCACCCCACCCGGCTTCAGGGTCAGCACCTCCTGCTTCCTCTGTGGTGGCCAGCAGCGTAGAATGAGGAAAGGAGGCGGCCATTCCTACGTGTACATTCAATTATTGAACCATCAGGGCAGCAGCCACACCCATCCTGGCCCCACCAGCTCTGGCCACCTGCCACGTTTTCTCCCAGATTGGGATCGTGACATAGTTGGCAGAGGAGGAAAGTGGGTCTTGGTGAGATGAATAGTGTGAGCTGGTCTGCATTGTGAAGCATGGTAGGCAGGGCCTAGAGCAGTGATGGCGAACCTTTTGAGCTCGGCGTGTCAGCATTTTGAAAAACCCTAACTTAACTCTGGTGCCATGTCACATATAGAAATTTTTTGATATTTGCAACCATAGTAAAACAAAGACTTATATTTTTGATATTTATTTTATATATTTAAATGCCATTTAACAAAGAAAAATCAACCAAAAAAATGAGTTCGCGTGTCACCTCCGACACGTGTGTCATAGGTTCGCCATCACTGGCCTAGAGTGAAGCAGGCCGGAGTCCAGCCATGGCCCTGCCCTGCCGCAGCTGTATGACCCTGAGCACGTCTGTGCATGGGAGGTGATCCCACACCTGCCTCATGGGGTCTGAGGATAGAGGAGTGACTAAGGGTGGCATGCCTTGAGCATTGAATGGACATCAGGTGGTAAACTTGGAGTACCAGTTGGCTATTGCTGTCAGTGCTTTTATGCTGTGGCTGCTATTGTGAGGAGTCAGCTTAGCATCATGACTCGGGCCCACATTTTGGCATCCGGTGGACCTGGCTTCAGCCCCCACTGCCATGCTGGCTGTTTGTGACCTTGAGCTAGGTCATACCCTCTCGGATTTCCAATTCCTCCTCTGGGAGGCCAGTGACTCTTATCCCAATGGGCTGGTAGGAGGATTGGGTGAGGAGAAATCCCTAAATGGGGTCAGTGTGGAGGACTGGAGAACAAATCTGAAGTCCTCCAGGGAAGTGCCTGGCAGCACCCAATGCCCTCACCCGGCACAGCCTTGGGCCTGTTGAAGCTGTGCTCTTTGAGCTGAGTGGCTGATCTTTACAGGAAGGTCTCTGGAACCCATTTACTTGATCCATGGGTCGCCTGTGGAACACACACACACACACACACACACACACACACACACACTCTTACACCCATGCTTGCTTCTCTGAGCATTCCTCAGAGAGATTTACCCATGTGTTCATGTGTGTGTGTGTTTCAGGTGTGTGTGTATCTGTGTGGGTGTGCTTAAGCACATGTGTGTGCCCAACGATGTGCACAGGAAGCATGAGCATGTCTGTGCAGTTTATGGGGCATTTGTGTCTGTGCATTCGGAGTCTATTTACAAGTGATGAGTCTTGAACTTCCATCCAACAATACATGGAGAGTACATGCTCTGTGCCTGGCCCTCTGCTGGGCTGGGGGCACCACAGGACTGAGGAAGACCCTCTCCCCCTGCCCTCCTGGAGCCCACACTGAGGACAGGGAGGGTGGAAACTGAACAGACATACAAAATAACTAGGTGTGTTTGAGAGCAGGACAAGCAGTACAAGGAGAATAAAATGGCTTGAAATGGAGGGTGGTGGGGGAGGAGGACCACTGCAGGATAGTCAGGGAGAACATCCTTAGGGTATGACCCTGAGCTGAGACCTGAACGATGAGAAGGAACCAACCACGGGAAGATGTGGGGAAAGTGTTGAAGCAGTGGGAACAGCATGTGCAAAGGCCCTGAGGTGGGACAAGGGTCAGAGCATTGGGGAATCTCAGAGGGGTCTAGCAGAACTGTAGCCCGAGTGGAAGGAGAGGGGTTGTACTGTAGGGCTTGGTGTCAATAGGCGGGCCAGAGTGTTTATACTGGGAACATGGGAAGCCCTCAGCAATCATGACAAAAGACACTTTTCATTTTAAAGCCAGGTCCTCTGGCTGCTTGCTGGGCATGGAGGGGACTGGATGGGATGTGAGTGGCACAGGCTGGAACTGTGAGCTGTGGTCTTGCAGTCAGGAAGAGCTGCTCTGAGGCCCAGGCCTCCAGCTTGGGTGATTCAGACAAGGGTCTCCAGCTGTGGGGGAATTCCTCCCATAACTCTCCTCTCCTCCCCTCAGACGTGGACGAGTGTGCACTGGGCACCCACAACTGTTCTGAGGCCGAGACCTGCCACAACATCGAGGGCGGCTTCCGCTGCCTGCTCTTCACGTGTCCTCCCAACTACATCCGAGTCTCTGAAACGTGAGTGTCTCCCCCTGCCCTGGGCCCAGTCACCCTGCAGACACCACGCTGCCCAGGGGCGAGGCCAGTGGCCGTGGGCCCTGCCTTAACCACCTCCTGCTCTTCACCTGCCCCCACTGCTGAGTCTGTGGTCAAATTGACCACAAATGGCACAAATGAAAGCACCTTGCAGAAAGTTCAGAGTCTAGAGAATGAAGAGAAGGTGCATAGAAAATCTCCCTCCCTGTCTTTCTCACACACTCACATCCACGCCACATTCGTCATCTATTGCTGTGTAACAGGTTATCCTAACACTTAGCACCTTAACCTGACAAACAGTTATTCTTTAAACAGTTTTGGAAAGGCAGGAATCCAGGAACAGCTTAGCTGGATGGTTCTGGCTCAGGGTCTCATGGGCTGCAGAGTCCGCTGTCCAATCACATGGCTCTGGGCTGGAGGTCTCAGCTCCACACCATGTGGGCCTGTCCATGGACATGCCTTCCCCAGCACAGGTCAGGGAGAGAGCGAGGGACATTTTGCAAAAGTGACACATGCTTATAAAAACATTCAAATAATAGACCCTGGCCAGTGTGGCTCCGTGTTTAGAGCATTGGCCCGTGGACCAAAGGGTTTTGGGTTTGATTCCCAGTCAAGGGCATGTACTTGGGTTACAGGTTCAATCCCAAGCCCCAGTTGGGGTGCCTGTGGGAGGCAACCAATCCATTTGTCTCTCTCATGTTGGTTTCTCTTTCTCTTTTCCCCTCCCTCTCTCCCTAAAAAAAAAAAAAAAAAAAAAAAAAAAAAATCAATGGAAAAAATATCCTCGGGTGAGGATTAACCAAAAAAAATTTTTCAAAGGAAGTGTGCCAACCGAAGTTTTTGTCCCGCCCCTCTAACAAATCATACAGTCGCCGACTGGTTGGAGTGTGTCCATCTTCTCTTTGGTCTGAACATAAAGTGCACACAGCTGCCCTGTCCCTGGTGCATTCAGCCGTTCTCATCTTGCTTTCTCTGCCTTGCAGCACTTGTGTCTGCATGTAGCCTGCCCCAAATGGTGTTTCCTGCATGCATGTGTTCATAATTCATTTAACGCTGTCCTGCTGGCAGTTTCACATTTTCCACTATTATACACTAGAGGCCCAATGCACGAAATTCGTTCAAGAATAGGCCTTTCTTTCCTCGGCTGCCGGCACCGGCTTCCCTCTGGGACCTGGGCTTCCCTCTGGGACCTGGGCTTCCCTCTGGCCGCTGGCAGGCACCCAGGACCCGGGCTTCCCTCGCAGCCCCACTTCGTCCGGAAGGTCGTCTGGAAGGACGTCTGGTCTAATTAGCATATTATGCTTTTATTATTATAGATGAGGAATGTCCATGTGCATGTGTGTTGGGACATTTAGGGAGTATGCCTAGGCGACTCTGGGCAAGTGACCTCCCTTCTCTGGGTCCTGGCTGCCGCATCTGCAGCATGGGAGTGATAGCAGCACTGTGGGTTGGTGTGAGCATCAGATGACTGAAGATGCGAGTTTCACACAGTGGATGGCCTGGCGTAAATGCTGCGTCTGTACTGCTGGCTGTTGCTCCTGTGCCGGCCTTGTGCTGTGGCCAATTGGAGAATTCTGCTCAGATCTCTAGAGTTGCTGAGCTCTGGTGCCTAAATAGCATCCCATTTTGGAAGTAGTGAGCTTTTATATTGATTTAACAATGGAGGTGCCGGTGGCTCAGAGGGCCAAGATGAGGTCAGATTGTTGCTATGCTTAAAAATTGAGGCCTTGGCCCCCTAGGGTTTGGCTTTCTCACCACCCTCATCCAGCAGTGCTGGTCTTGAGGCTTCTACCTGAAAAATGGCAGGGCATCCCAACTCAGAGGAGGAAGTGGCCCAGAAGCAGTCAATTAATAGAAGAAAAGGAATTTGAAAAATGATTGCAATAATAAAAACACTCTGGCCTGGGAATCTATTCCAGTGGACAGTGTGCCAGTAAAGAAAAGGCAGGGAGGAGGAAGCACAGGGTGCACCAGAGCTGCTCGAGAGCTGCGCCAGGCACTGTGGTGGGTGCTGCATGTGTATAAACTCACTCCACCCTCCCAAGGAAATATCTTACAGATGAGGAAGCTGAGACCCGCATAGTAAGGAGACTTAGCAGATGATATAAGGCTACTTAGAGCAGAGCTGGGGCCAGCTGGCCCTTGAGCCTGCCTCCACCATGTCCAGGATGGTGGACAGCAGGGGTGGGAGAGCCCGGGATGGTTGTTCGTGAACCCTGGCTCTCTGACCAAGCCCCGTGCATCCTGCAGGAAATGTGAGCGCACCACGTGCCATGACTTTTTGGAGTGCCAGAGCTCGCCAGCTCACATCACGTACTATCAGCTCAACTTCCAGACTGGTCTCCTGGTGCCGGCTCACATCTTTCGCATCAGCCCGATGCCCGCCTTTGCTGGGGACACCATTGCCCTCACCATCACCCGAGGCAACGAGGAGGGCTACTTCGGCACACGCCGGCTCAATGCCTACACCGGTGTTGTCTACCTGCAGCGGTCAGTGCGTGAGCCCCGGGACTTCGCCCTGGACGTGGAGATGAAGCTCTGGCGGCAGGGCTCTGTCACCACCTTCCTGGCCAAGATGCACGTCTTCTTTACCACCTTTGCCCTGTGAGGTGCCTGCCTGAGCGCCTGTGCAGGGCCGTAGCACTTGGGGTGCCCCTGATGGTCCCTGTGGCACCCTCCACACCACCCTCCAGTGCACCTCTTTCTGTGGGTGCTCAGCACCGCGTGAGTGGGGCCTGGTTATCAGGGTGGTTTTTGCTACAACTGGAAAATAGCCTAATTTTGCTGAATGGATTCCTCTCAGGTTCCTGGGAGGGATCTTGGCAGCAGGAGGTCGAAAGCAACTCAAGGCACTTCAGGTGCCTGTGGGTGGAGTGAGAGGACTAAAGGCTACATGACGATTAAAGGCGGGAAACAGACCACGTGGGGCTTTGGACTCAACTGGATGGCCTGTCCCCAGTGTTGATATTCTATTTCATGTTTCACTGTGATTACTTCTCCACTTTAAAAAACCATCTTAAGTGTTTTTGTTTAATTATAAAAGTAGTGCACATACACTGCAAAAAATTTCAAATAGTACAAAAAGGTTATAAAGTAAAAAGTGACAAAAGAAAAACCCTTACTTCTGTCAAGTGTTTGAATCTGATGGTGTGTCTGAGGGCCCTGGGTCCCAGCCTGGGTGTTGAGTCAGTCTGTTGATTAAGAACCTCCTTGATGTCTGATGAAAGGAATAACTCCAAACTAGGAGTCCCATTGAGATGACAAGTTTGTGGTGTAAACATGCTGGCATACTGGTCCTGTCTTCTTTCACCAATGCTTCTCCTCCCTCCTTTCCCCTCTTCTTCTCCTCCTTCCCCAAGTGTGGCCCTCAGGTAGTATGTCACGTTGGATATTGCCCAGAAACTCCAGTACTGGTCCCTCTCGCTAAGGCCTGTACACATCAGCTCAGGCAGAGGCCTTGGGCAGGATCCTGAGAGATGAGAGAATTCTTTTTTCTTCTCCACGGTGCACCTGGGGCTTTGAGCTGCTGTAAGGAGGGTGCCTCAGGTTGGGAGGCCCCCAAGTGCACACTTGCCACTGCTCTTGGCCCTTTCTCTAAAGCAGGGATTCCAGCTGTGAGCAGTGTGTGGCTCCGTGGGCCTATGTGTAGTGGACATAGTGGACAGCAGCTGGTGTTGAAGAAATGGAATGGGACACTGTCAGTACTCTTTCCCTGGTGAAGAAGGCATGGTCAGGAAACGGCAATGCGTGTGTCTGCGTGTGTCACACCCCCAATGCCACTGCCTTGGGCTTGTGATGTAAAACTATTTCTTATTGTGTGTGGCCTATTGGGATTGTGGCAAACTGGGAGCTCATGCCCTATGTGGAGGGTGGCACTTTGCAGATCCAGAAACTGCCGCCTTCTGGATCTGGACCCAGAAGGCCAAATGTTCCCATTCTTCAGGGCAAGTTCCCTAAGTACATTTTGATGTAAAATCTCCCAATTTTAAGATGTGATTAATTAAAACTTTGTAACTGCAGGTGTGAGCCTGCCATGAAAGGCCCACTGCCTTGTGCCCTTTGACCCTCCCTGCTCTTCACTGGCTCTTGCCGAGGCATTGCACAGAAGCCAGGGTCGCGTTCTCACTGGCTGACTGCCTCCATTCCTTCTGCTTCTAGAAACCAGAGCTGGCAAATCTGTCAGACACATTCACTCACCAGGAAGGAACAGACTTCCGCTCAAAAGGCAGATTGGGGACACTAGCAAGGGATGGGCAGCAACTGGCTACCTGGCAGAGGCCCCCACAGGCCTGCAACAGACTCCCACACTGTCCCGGGCCTTCTCCCAGCTCACAAGTGCTCCCCATGGCCCCTCGGTAACTGACATCACTTCCCAGGGTTTTGTCTACCTCAGCAGGTAGTCCCCACTTTTCTCTCCGGGATGTTGTGCCCATGGAATCAGCACACACAGTCTAGCTTGGCACCAGCTCATCTGAGGCTCTCCTGATGTGAGAGTTTCCAAGGTTCGGTGATTCCAGGATTCCAGGCTGCAAGGAGCTGGGCAAGCTACAGTTGGGAGAACAAGTCTCTACAAGGGTGTCCTCACTTCAGATGCCAGACAGAAGCTGGAGGGTTCCCACACCACCCTCACTTTCAAATATCAGGCTTTCGCCTCAGGATGTGTCACTATACTATAGGATGGGTGACAGTGCACCTAGTGTTGCCAGCCCAGGAGCCTTTGGTGCCAGCATTTTCATTGGAGCTTGGTCACATACTGTCAGCGTGGCTGGCCTTCAGTGTCCAGTCCCTCCTGGAGGTGAGACTAATATGGCATGTCCCAAAGCCCCTATCATAAGCCACAGTATTGGACTATCCAGGGCCCAACACCCCCAGATAAACACACTCCAGTCAGGACTTTCCAAGGGCCTAGACCTCACCTCCCAGGAGCCAAGGGCCAAGGCCAGACTTCAGGGAAGAGAGGGCCAGCCCCTCCAGCCTCTGATGTAGGTTTTCTTATAGGACGATGGTATTTAGGCATCTACACCTAGTATTACTTGTTACCTCTCTTGATCTGCTAAATGTGCCTTATGATAAATATGTGCAGAACCATTTAGCATAGAAATGAGTGAATGTTTCCTCAGGCCAGACATCTCCCATCCTGAGGAGGCCATAACTCAGTACTCCAGCATGTGGCCAGTGGTATAAGCATAACCTCACCAGCCATGCCAGTGCTGTTCCACACTGCAGCAGGTAAGTGACCTGGAAAGTGAGACTAGGCCCAATCAGTTACCAGCCATTCAGCCAGTCCATCAAAAGGTCTCCCACGTGAGGCCACGCAGGTTTGCCGCTTCCATTAGACCTTGTCAGGTTTCAAAAGCAGGAGTGGACTTGGCTTTGCCTTTCAGGCATCTGGTATGATCGAGATGAGGCTGTGTCCTCTTTCTCCAAATCTCTTGAGATAATATAATACTGGCCCAATGTTCTGCTGGGTTTCCCTCATTTATAACCCATTTGCCCCTTTTCCCTCGGCTCTCTCCACCCGCACTCCAGTTCTTCCACCCTTGGACGGTGCCTTCGGTTTGGCCCCTGTGCTGGTCTCGATTACAGGCAGCAATAGCAAATGCCTCCCTCCTCCACTCCTGTCCTGGTAGGGTGTGGTCATACAGACCTTCTGGGCCAGCTCCACCAGCAGGCACACTGCCGCATTCACTGTCCGTCCTGCCAGGTAGGTGTAAAAGCAGTATCCACCCTGTCAGGCCCTTAGGATTTGTGACATCAATGATTAGAAGTTTAGTCACCGTTTCTTGCTTAGGAATTCTCCCTCCTTCTGGCACCCATAGTTGCAGCCTTGCTCCTGGGACAACAGCATCAGATAGGAACAAATCAAGTTGAGATGATGTTCCAGGGGAAAAGTATAGTCATGCCAGCATCCTTCCTCTGTGGAAGAATTGTGTCATCATAACAGGCCCCTCAGATCACCTAGAAAAGCAGAGGAGTCTATTCAGGGGGACCCGCCCTTGGCCCCCTCATGGTGAGTGTGAGCACACTGCTGACAGCATGTAAGCCAGCCCTTCATGCCTGCATCTCCATCACCTTGTTTTAGAAAACTGGTTTTAGTCCTCTATCTAGCCATTACTCCAAGGAAGATCTCTCTGCTCATTGTTGGACACTGAGCTGTCACGAGTGTTCCTTGGGCTGATGAAATGGGAATGGGTGGTCCAAACTGGCACCTCTGTTGTTCCAGTAACTTACTGTGTATCAAGCATTTCCTTCTACCACTGGCTGCCATGTGAGGCCTAGCCCAGAGACCTCTTCCTGCCAAGATCCCTCTGCAGGGTCCGGGGGCTTACAGAATTAGTCCATTCTCCAGCAGTGCTCTGGACTTTCCCCAGGGGATCTTCCCCACAGCTATCTACAATTTCTGTCTCTCTAGTTGACAGGACAATTCTTGTTGACTTTTTGTGCCTCAGAGGGACAAGAGGAGTGTGTCTATATCTAACTAGTTCCTGCATTGCTGAAGCCCCATAGGTTCCCTTGTTTTGTGAACTCAGATGGCTACCTCAGTGTACACTAGTACGCCTGCTTGCCAATTCCAATCTATTTCCGGTCCTGGGAGGGAGTTCTTCTGATGGGCATCAGCATGTCCTACTTTAATGTACCCTTAAATTCCCATAATGATTTCCATAGAACCTGGTTCACATGGGCACCCTTTTAATAGACCCATTTTCATTGCTCTTCTGATCATGCCATTGGCACTACCCATGAGTCAATGGAAAAAAAAACTGGGCAAATGGCATGCAGCCAGCCTATTCTGCTGACTTGTTTTACTTCTTCTCTCAGAGGGGCAGCCTCCCAACAGGATGTTGTCCATACACCTTGAAACTGCCATCCATAAACCAAGCAGCTCTCTTTTGGTTAATCAAGAGCTTTCAGCCCAGATGGTGTGGCTCAATGGTTGAGTGTTGATCTATGAACCAGGAGGTCACAGCTCCATTCCCAGTCAGGGCAAGTGACTGGATTTTGGGCTCAATCCCCAGTAGGGGGCATGCAGGCGGTGATACCAGACCCAGGTGATTCCAGACTCAGTCGAAGGGGGCACATCTCTTTGCTTGTGATTATGCTGAGTACCTTCCAGCACTGCCCTAGTAGTATCTTACTGCACAAACCATGTCCATTTTATCACGGAGCTCTTCTTGACACTCACTGGCCCTCCTCGAAACCACCCACAACAGGCTGGGGATTTCAGGTTTCAAGACTAGTTTATGGTTTTTAGTCATAAGAGCAGTCTCAGTCAAGGCCATGTCCAGTTGTCTCAATGGAAAATTTTTGAACCCAAGTTTCAGCAGCTGTATTGCTGGGTGGCATGTGCAGGCTGTGCCATAAGCCTGAGTCTGCGGGAGGACTCCAAGGCTTTGTTGGATCAGTTTTATGTATAGGAGCTAGCAGTGTTCCCAGATGTGGGATATGTGTCCTCCAAAACCCAAGTAAACTGACCAGTTGCTGGTCTTCTAACATGTTTTGTCCACCAGTCCCCATCACTATTGCCTGGAGGTAGACATCAATGGCTTGTTTTATAGCTGGCTAGGTAAGAGTCCCCAGTCAGACACAATGTCTATCTCAGGATGCACTCTGGTCAAGGAGACAGCCACGGTGTCTGCTCACACATCCCACTGCTCATCTAAATGTTCACCTTAATCCCATCAGCCATTGCATTTCTGTATTCTCCCAACCCAACTGTAGCTCCATTAGGACTTTACCAAAAAGCTTTTGGAATCACAGTGCATTGGGATCTCATAAGACAAGTGCTTGGGTGACACATGGGCCCAAGAGCATGGATGCCAACTTACCAAAGCAGATCTGGCTGCTGCTGCCTCAGCAATGGAGGAACACTGAGCCAAGTACATCACTGGCCACTGGCAACAAGGGAACTACTGTGTTGACCCCCTTCCATCTTGGGATATAAGCACTCTCTGAGGGCTTACAGAGTGTCTGACCCTCTGGCATCCTGTACAATCTGGGTCCGATCCACAGTGAAGCAGCTGAAAGACTAGCCCATGACCATGGGACCTACTGTTCATGCACAAACTACATGACCCAGAGGCAGCCAGCCTCATAGAGCGTGTGAACAGCTTTCTAAAGGTGAGTGAAACAC